TCACCTGATGACTCCCAATGGCCTCTTCATAAATCCGCTCGGTTTTCGCTAAAAATCGACATGCGGTTCAGACGCAATCTGGGCGTATCGGTTTTTGGGTTTTATCGATTTTCCGCGCTGTTTAGGGGTCCGTAGTCATGAAACTTCTGGACAACACTTCTAATGGTAGATTTTAAGAGGGTGTCAAATTTGGTTGAAATGCGATCATTCCTTCTGTAAGCAGAATTCTTTCGATTATCGATTTTTTCGGAACATGATTCCGAACTCAAAAATCGGGCTCCGTCATGTCCTTACGGCAGCCATTTGTAAACTTGTGTTGAAAACCGCATCGAAATCGGGTGAGAAATGCGGCCTGGGCGAGGTAACAACGCCCACGACAGACACACAGACAGACAACATGAGAAATATAGATAGTAGATAATTACTTCTAGAATTCTGAGGGTTTCTTTGGCGTTAAAATATAAAAGAAAGTTGACAGTATCTTGCACTAGACAGTGATAGCCTCACATGTCACTGTGGCTTTGTCGAACGCAGTAAAGCAGACCTTGCTGTCCACTGGCAGAAACACGTGACACTTGACTCTCAAACACTCCATCAAATTGCTCAGCCACTTGTCCCATCTGCTTAAAGATTTGCAAAACACCGTCAAGCCTCGGCAGACACATCTGTGTCTATAGAAGTTAAACACTCTTAATTTTATTGAGCCCAAATTCGTCGTCTGCGACGAGAGAGCTCACCATATATATATATATATATATATATATATATATATATATATATATATATATATATATATACAGTTAATGGATGCGCACAGCTGATGAGTCCCAAATATAGGACGAAACGGCCGTCCAATGCTTTTTGCATTCTTCTAGACTCGATGAATTACTTAAAATTATTTCACATCGTCCTAATAATTTCCATGCTTTTATATTCTAGCTGGAACCAGCTCCTAATGCTCTGAATGGAGCGGCTTAGGAAAAGAAGACGTGCCTGGCGGGGATACAGTCCGTTGGGTTAGGGAGACACGGATGAGTTACAACACGGAATTTGTGATGAGCGGCGATATATCGAGTCTAATTAGTAACCGCCTCGCCATCGGGACCCGTTGGTACACTTCGTATGACGCTTGCGTCGTTTCGTAAAGGTCCAGTTTCAATTCTCGGTAGCTGAAACGCACTGCTGATGAGTCCCAAATATAATTGCTTTGTTTAATTTTGTTCGTTCCTTGCATTCTTTCGTTTTTTTTTTTTTTATATATATATATATATATATATATATATATATATATATATATATATATATCTGGAAGCCCATTCAATACTGAGTAAAAGCACTCCGAGGAATCTTAACTCCCAAGCGCTCTTTTCAGAGATGATTTCCATGCTGTAACATTCGAAAGGGGTTCCTTACGGGAAATGGTTCAAGGAGGTAAAGTGCTCCCCAACTAGTTATCGGCACAATTGTGCATAGCACCATTGCCTCATTGGACGTTATGTCGCCGAGAGACAAACTGACTTTCATGCTGTAAATAAAAATGTCCTTCTTCTTGAGCGATGTCTCAAAAAGAACAAGAAATCCCCACTCTAATTTTTTTCTTCTTGTTTTTCGTCCTGCTTTGTGATATGTCACCTTTTTCACTAGCAGAAAAGCTGGTGGAGAGGCCAGCTTAGACACCGACACCCAGCTGTCCATACGGCAGGCTTTATTGCGTTACATGTTACCAGTAGACCCTAAACTTTGACTTGAGCTAATGTGTGCGCATAATTACCTTTCCTTTATTGGTATTTCTCTGTTGAGTGTTTTTATTTCTGTATGTATGAGTGTGAACATGATGAGTCAAAATGGAATTTTTTTGTCTCAAAGATTCGTTTCGTTGGGGAAAGCTTATGTCCCTTCGGCATAACCAGTTTGACTACAAAAAAAGTAAAACAATGTGTAGGAAAATATCTTTGGATCGCGAAGGATAATTTGGTATCGTTAATCACTTTAATTACTATAGCTTATCATTTCCTGGCTTGAGACTTGGAGAGGGTCTGTATGCCTCTGTGCTTGTTTGTTTTGCTTATGTATTAAAGGCATTTGGTATTATAAGATATTAATTAAAGGACATACTATTATTTTTTGCATGAACATATATACCCACAACACATACACACACACACGTACAAACACACTACATATACAGGGTGACCCCAAAAAACGGGAACTTTTAACCATCCAATAAAAGGAAGAGTAATGGAAGAAACATATTTTATTCATAGTAATTGAAACCTTAAAACATGCCATTTAAGAAACAATGATGGAATTTTCATTTTTTTTAAATTAAGTCCTGAGATGGCATCCTCCTGTATGAATGCATTCTTGAAATCTGCTGTTGAGATTCCTCATTGACTGCTACAACATCTCAGCTGGGATACTGTGAATTTCATCTTGAATTCTAAATGGCGAAATGTTTACTTGCTGAACGGTTCAAAGATTAAACTGTCAAATGGATAATTTTGATTATGCCGATTGGACAATTTTGCTGTTACATCCAGTGTGTATATACAGTAGCGTCCAAAACTAAGGGACAAAATTTTAAAACCTAATATTCGTTAGAAATAACAACTGTGAAAAGCTGAAATTTTGACAACTGGTAGTTGTTATCATCCATAATAACATACTAAAATTTGAATCATTTGCAAAGGATAGAAAAAGAATTATAACAATTATTTATTTATTTTCAAAATAGGATCGTCCAAAAGTAAGGGACAAAATTGAGAAAAACAATGTAAACAGTATGCTATATTCAAATTTTTGATTTCCTCTAAAGAATAAGTCTTACTTAGTGATTTGTAAACGTTGCATCAGCTGGCACCATGGCGAAACGCCAAAACTTGATTACTCTGTGAGACAAGCTATTGTGAAGCTACACAAGGAAAAGCACACCATTAGAGAGATTTCAGAGAAAGTGAAACGTTCCAAGAGTGTTGTAGGCAGAGTTGTTAAATCCTACAATGATACTGGCAAAATAGTTAGTGCTTTTAAAACCGGCAGACCCCGAAAAACTTCGGCAAGAGAAGATCGAATAATGCAGCGTATGTCATTAAAGGACCGTTTTAAGTCTTGCACAGAAATTAAAAGGGTTATGAATAGTACCTCATGTGTTAATGTGTCAAGACAGACTGTTTGTAGACGACTGCAAGAAATAGGGCTGTTTAATCGAACCCCAGGGAATAAACCACTTGTTCGTTCGAAGAATAAGAAGAGATTAGAGTTTGCAAACAAGTATGTAATTTGGACATATGAAAATTGGGCAAAAGTATTTTTCAGTGATGAAAGCAAGTTTAATTTATTTGGAAATGATGGAAAAAACAATGTAAAGAGACGTATTGGTGAAAGATTAAGTGCAAAGTGTACTAAGAAAACTGTCAAGTTTGGGGGCGGAATCGTCATGGTATTTGGAATGTTTTCTAGCAAAAGGTACAACGCCTCTTGTCCGGTTACAAACTCGTGTAAACGCGCAGATCTATAAAAACATTGTTCAAGATCATGTTGTGCCAATCATACAGAATTCAGGTTTCGATAGGGTTACCTTTATGCAAGATAATGCCCCATGTCACAAGGCAAAGGTGGTAATGAGTTACCTTCGCGAGCAAGATTTGGAAATTATGGATTGGCCACCGCAAAGTCCTGACTTAAATCCAATAGAAAATCTTTGGAAGACCTTAGGAGTGAAAGGTATGGAAAGATATCCCACTAACACGGAGGATTTGTGGGTAAAGCTTCAAGAAGAATGGTTAAAATTAGTATCGAGGATTGTCAAGAACTGATTCGTTCTTGTAGTCGAAGATGTGCAGCTGTCATTGAGAGCAAGGGCTCATTTACTAAATATTAATTTTACATGTATTTTTATTGTTTTTTGCCGTTTACATTGTTTTTCTTAATTTTGTCTCTTACTTTTGGACGTTCCAAATTTGAAAATAAATAAATAATTGTTATAATTCTTTTCTATCCTTTGCAAATGATTCAAATTTTAGTATGTTATTATGGATGATAACGACTACCAGTTGTCAAAATTTCAGCTTTTCACAGTTGTTATTTCTAACAAATATTAGGTTTTAAAATTTTGTCCCTTAGTTTTGGGACGCTACTGTATATATATATATATATATATATATATATATATATATATATATATATATATATATATATATATTAAAACCGCAAATCTGATGGTTAAAAATAATAATTCATTTCTTAGACCAAAATTAAATAGAATAAATATTATTTACGAATTTATATGTCCATTAAGGAATTGCGTTCCTGATCAATGAAAATTCATCAACAATTATATTGGCCACACCATAACATATTTGACTCACACTACATCTTTCTCACTATAGGTCTCAATTAAATACTCAACCAGGCCTAATTTAAATACACATAAAGACCTACCGGAGGCTACTTGCAACCAACTTGTTGATAATACAAATATAATAGCATCGTCTACATGTAAAAATGGCTAAAAATAATAGAAGCCTTATTAATAAAAAAACCAGCGCTCAATAATGTCAACTATGAACATGGTCAGAATATGCTAAATGTATTTTGAAAATAAAGAATTCTATAATACTAAATACATACATACAACAATCTGTTTCCAGTTAGCACTTAAAATATTCCATACTTAAAAATGGGTTAATGTTATAACGGAAAGCGCTCGGAGAAATATAACATTTGGACAGTTTTCTATAATGTATCTACTGAAGAGAAAAAAAAATCATATGAGAAATTATATATAAAACTTGATATATATATATATATATATATATATATATATATATATATATGTGTGTGTGTGTGTGTGTGTGTGTGTGTGTGTGGAGAGAGAGAGAGGATGGAGAGATTCATATATATATACATATATACTCTCTTATATATTTTGCTAACATATATACAATGTAAGCATGTATGAGTGTGTAAATTGTCCACGATGATATATTTTTTCTTAACACATGATTACAGCTGGCGGTGGTAATCGTGGGTTCATATCGTATCATATCTGCAGTAATCTTTCGTAAACATGGCTACGAATGGCTACCACCGACATTTTAGACTACATTGTCATTTAGGTTATTTTTTATAGGAGTTTCCCGCTTAACAATTTGACTTATAATTTTTTTTTATTGTATTTAATATTTTATTTTTTTCCCTTTCCTAGGCCCTTACTCGCTCTATTCTTTTCTCTCGACTTCTTTCTCTCTTAATCCTTCACCCCGTTCCAAATTTCTTATCAACCTTTGCTAGTTTATTTTCTATCATTTTTGTGATTTGCTTGCGCTCATTTTTCGCCTTTCCTTTCATTTTCATTGCTACCATTTTGTAAATTCTTACTCTTGTTCTCCTTAACATTCATAACGGTAGTTGCTCCCTTTTATTAAATCAATCTATTTTTTTTCTATGGTGGCGTTTATTTCTGGCTTTTAAACTTTATTTCTCCTCTTTTCTTTTATCGTTTCTTATATTTCCCGACATTCTTAACCGTTTAGTTCCCATAATTTTTCATTTACTTTCACATGTTCGTTTTCTCTTTCATTCTTTTTTTTCTGTTTGTCTTTTTACGTATATGTTTAATATTTACTTTCTTATTTTTCTTTTATTTGCATAATTCATTTCATCTATCATTATTTTTTTCTTCCTTCAGTGATTTCTAAGTTTCGGTCAAATTTATATTTCATTTTTTTAATTTTGATCGTTGCTTTCATTCTTTCGTTATATATATATATATATATTAATTCAGCTATTTCTTTGCATTATCCTATCTCTTTCATTTACCATCCCCTTAACTTTCTTTCTTTCTGTTTTTCTTTCTTTCTTTCTTTATTCGTATTGTCATATCGTCTTTAATTTTTACTTTCTATTTTCGTTCGTTCATTTTTCTTTATTTCTTTATTTATTTCGATGTATTCTCCAATCTTTTTTAGCATTTACTATTCACTTAACTTTCTTTCATTTTACTTTCTTTCTTTCGTTCTATCTTTCTTTTTTTGTTTGGATTGTCATTATTTTTTACTTTCTATATTCCTTTCTTCTTTCTTTCTTTACTTTTCATATTTTTCTTTCTTTCTTTTGTATATCTTTCTTTCTCGCATTACTATATATTTCTTTCTTTCTTCCTTTTCTTTGTATATCTTTCATTCTTTCTTTCTTTCATTCATTTCTTTCTTTCTTTATTTATTTATTTCTTACTTTACTTTGCATTTCTTTCTTTCTTTCTTTTGCATATCTTTCTTTCTTTCTTTCTTCCTTCCTTTCTTTCTTTCTTTCTTTACTTTGCCTTTCTTTCTTCTGTCTTTCTTTCTCTGTATTTTCTGTTTTCTTTCTTTCTTTCTTTCTTTCTTTCTTTATTTCTTTACTTTGTAGAGCTTTCTTACTTTCTTTTGCATTTCTTTCTTTCTGTCTTTCTTTCTTTGTTTTTTCTTCTGTTTTCTTCCTTCCTTCCTTCCTTTCTTTCTTTACTGTGTATATATTTCTTTCTTTCTTTCTTTCTTTCTTTCTTTCTTTCTTTCTTTCTTTCTTTCACTCTCCAATTGTAAAGCAAAATTAAACTTTTGTCTTCACATTTCTTCCGGCATAATTTGCCTTTCGCTTTACACATAAATTACCTGCTTTGTACTTTTAATTCACATTTCTTCCTCCCGCCTTTCTAGTTTTTCACGTTTTTCTGATTTCCTTTTCTATTCTATTTTTTCAGTCTTTTCTCCCTTCCTTCTCTGTCTTGTTTCCCCGAAATATGTCCATCACAGATTTTCATACGTATTTTGTTTTGACTCGAAACAAAATTGATACCACTTTTACTTATGTTGTTCTTCTCTCAAAACTCATTCTTCCCGCTTTTTTTATATTTCCTTTGAGCTGTTTTTGGCCATATTTCTACTAGCCGCATTTACGTATTTTTATTTGTAATGTTTCTATTATACCGCCTCCATTCTATTACTGTTATAGGAAATGAAAAACCTAAAATTAGAAGTTCTTGATCGAGTTTGCAGTTATAGATACTATTTCATGACTGCAATTCCAAGTTATTTTTCCGTTTGACCGATGTTACAAAGATAAATCTTTCTCGATGTTTGCGTCAATTAATAGTGGATGATTACATAGCGTCGACGGAATGGCCGATGGCAGAGATCAAATCGCGTGATTACATTTTTAAACTGACTATTACCTGAATTTCTAGCAGTTGAGTAAAAATGAAATATAATAACGCGTCGAGGAAAAAATGTCCGTGTGTCATAATTTGAACTGGTAGTTTTAAAATTATTATTATATAAAACAAAAACCGGCTCCACCTGAACCCAGTTATAAAATTATTAAAAATGCCCTTAAATGGTGTGCTGCTGTGACTTTTGTAATATTCCTAAGCTTTAAATAAATATTACGCATTAAATAATAATTCCATTCTAGATTACGTTTGCTTACTTTTCGGCCGGATTTGTATTTTTTCTATTCACATCATCCTTCAAATTTTATAGTTTTGCTTATTCTATTTTTGACTTATGCATATTTATGAACAGGGTCTGCATTTTCTTTTGCTGTTTCCGCTTTTAAACCTATTGACAATGGGAATGGTGGCATTTGAAAAAAAAAACAAAAAAAACTTGGCTGTACAAGAAGAAAAGAAAAAATACCATTGCTCATGCGTTGTGGAAAGTTATTTCTTTACAGATTTCACACGATAAAAAGGACGCCATTTGCGCTTGATCCCCACCTCAAGGCACGCAAGCAAGTTGACAGCCTGTTCAAAATTAATTTCAAGAAATGAGTTACTCAAGTCATGTCATCAGGACCGGGGAAAATGTTTTCTGCTTTTCCAAGACGATGCAACATTTTAGCAACCATATACATCGAGCTTGTAGCATTGATGAAAAAAAAAAACAACAAGAAAAAAAAGTACATTTCGGATATTTCTAACACAATAAACATAATCCACATATTCTACCAATGATTCTTCAATAATTTTACAAGACCCTAAGTAAAAGTAAGAACTCAAGTAGAGACCTACGTTTCTGACAAACCGATATGGAAAATATGCAAACATTTAAATATCCATAATGAGATTTAACAGTCGACGGAAGAAGCAACATCGAAATTCGAAAGTATATTGGAACAAAGCAAGATGCCTTTCAAATGCTAAGCAAAGTATTAAGGAGGAAGAAAATTTCGTTACAAACAAAAGGTACTGAACTGTTACGTAATATATCTTTATTTATTTCGATGTATTGTCCAATCTTCTTTAATATTTACTGTTTATTCCTCTAATGAAACGGCGAACAATGTCCTCGGAAATGATTTATAGACTTGAGGAAAAAAAAAGTGTGGTTCTACAGAAGGAAACTGAGAAATTCATGCACTAAACACTTAAGTAACAAGAATGTTTTAAGACAAATGAAACCAAAATACCTTAGAATCAGAAAGAGAGAATTAAAATTCCTAGGCTACATAATGAGGAAAGAGGACTTGGAGAATGTAAAACTCATGGGAAACACTGAAGAAAAATGAACAGAGTGAAGAAATCCAATGCTTTTTGATTTCAGTTGAGGATTCTTCTAGACTCGATGAATTACTTAAAAATGATTATTTCAAATCGTCCTAATAATTTCCATGCTTTTATATCCTAGCTGGAACCAGCTTCTAATGCTCTGAATGGAGCGAAATGGGAATAGAAGACGTTCCTCGCGGGAATACAGTCCGTTGGGTTAGGGAAACACGGATGAAATTACACCACAGAATTTGTGATGAGCGGCGGTATATCGAGTCGAATTAGTAACCACTTCGCCATCAGGGCCCGTTGGTGCAGTTCGTATGACGCTTGCGTCGTAGCGTAAAGGTCCAGGTTCAATTCTCGATAATGGATACGCACTGCTGATAAGTCCCCAAAATAGGACTAAACAGCCGTCCAGTGCATTTTACATTGTGACGTCGCCCCCCCCTGGTCGCAGCGTCGACTCTGTCGTTCGATCTCGTTCGCGGCTCCAATTGTGACGTGACGTGATGTAGCCGCCCAAGGGTCGATCCTTGTCACGGACAGCACCAGTTGTGACGTTTTTGCCGCGGCGTCAGCTGTTCGCTCCTCGCTGCTCCAAGTGTGTCGCTCTAACCCTTTGGTTAGATGATTGCCAGCCTCGCCGTTCCCAACTCGCTTCCAACACCTGGTTACTAGGGTAACTGTACTGATCTCCGGTCTGCCTACCCACGTTGTGATTAGATCTTAGACAGACGGGATCAAACAGGGATTGGGGCCGTATGCAAGTTGAGTTCGACGGGGTGGCAACACACAAGTAAAGAAAAAAACTCACGAGGCCAAAAATTACTGATAAAAAGGGTAACAGCCTTTTATATCTAATGTTCGTTACATAAAATTTTTCTTACTTCCCGACCCGTTTTGTGGACTGTGGCACCAAGCTTCTACCATACAATTTAAAGACTTTGAGTTGCCTACTCTCTAGAATTTTGCATGTCGGAGTGTGGTTTGGTTTCGACACTGGGCGCTAATCTCTACCAGTCGTTCACGGCTGATTCTTCTCTTCGGCTTGAGTTGGACGAGCTTATTCACTTCGGCTTGAGTTGGACGAATTTTTTCACTTCGATTTGGGTTGAACGAATCTCTGTTCTTAGGCTTGGTTTGATTTCAACTTCTTCTATGCGCAACTGCAAGTAACTTCTTCTTCGTCCGCCCTGCAACTCTTCTCGCCAAGGTCCGAACTCTTCTCTCTGCCGTCTGAGACTGAACTCTTCTCGCTGCCGTCCGGGGAACTCAACTCTTCTCGCTGCCGTCCGGGGAACTGATTTCTGTCGGTTGGGGTTCTGCTTTTATTGACGCCGTAACAAACTGGGGTGGGTCTGTCGGCGCTAGGGTCTTCTTGATAATTCCAAAAGTCGCACTATTTCTGATTTCCCATTATCGCTCTTCTCTCACCCCTACTTCCTCCACAGTGCCTCTGGGGGAGGCGCACACCATCTCTCCCGGTCTCTCGTATGTCAGGTGACCGTTTTCGACCAATGGGTCCTGGTCGAGCGTCCTTTCTCCTCTTTCTCGCATATCACGTGACCGCTCTCGGCTAATGAGATTCTGGTTGGGCGTCTCTCGTCCTTCGTGACGTCTCCAATCGGGCGTGGCCTATCCGGGGCTTTGTTCTGGGAAGAAACACCTTGCTAAAAAAAAACAAAATCAATTTGGCCTTTTTTTTCGCACGCACGAAAATGACAATCTCGGCCTTTCTCACCTTTTGGCTTTTGTCAAAACAGCCCGCCGCTAATTAGATGTGACTTCAGGAAGAATTTTTCTCGTCTTGCTGGCGCTTTCTGTGAGCCAAAACAATTGTTTTCATTCCTTTATTTTCGCTCAGGCCTGATAGCCAAAATCTTAATTATCTGAATTGAAAATATCTTCACTTTATCATCGTGGGGGTTCTAATCTTCAACTCTAGAGCTGGTCAGAATCTGTATACAATTCCAGCGGTCACCTCTCATCCCAAAGACACCCCTTTTTGATTAATATTTCTTTTCCATTGTTCTAAAAAATCCCATTTCTCCAACTTGATAATGAATTTCCACATTCCGCGGACACAAAAGTAGGCCAGGTGTTTTGACCGATTTTATTAATCGTCCGTCTTGATGTCTTTTCACTTGTACCATGTCTGTTCCCTTTCTTTCTTTTAATTATCTCTAACTCTATTCTTTCAAATAACAATTTCTATTGTTCGTGAAATTCGGTCAGGCGCGTTGGCCTAGATATCTCTTGACACCTGTTTTCGCTTATGACCGGCTTTTGCATTATCCATCTCTCCCTCTCTTTTTCTTTCTTTTCCTCTTTCTTTTTTTTCTTCTTCTTCCCTTAGGATCGCCTAAATACAATTAGAGAATTATTCTCAAAACTCAATTATTCTTCGTCTAAATAACTAACAACTGGTTAATAAACCGAATAAAAATTAAATCATATTTCTATGAATATCTCTTTTTAGTCTTTCTAATAATGCAGGGTGCCACAACATTCTGCCGACGATTCATCTAGTCTCGATGAATTACTTAATTATGATTATTTAAAATCCTCCTAATAATACTTATACGGCACGGTGGAGTAATGGATAGAGGCTTGGATTGAGGAATCGCAGATCCGAGTTCGAATTCCAGTCGAATCCATTACATTCATTTATGTGATAATACCCTTGGGAAAGGTGTGAAACCTCTTCTTCTACCTCCAGCTATGGGTAAATAGCAGGACAGACTGGGTTCTATAGCCTTGGATGGCAACTGGTCTAGGAGAAGGACAACTCTGCGGAGGGTCGTTTGGGGACCTTGTGGCACTTAGTGCACCAGGTCTCTGAATTTGGCCATTCAAAAAGTGTGGATGGTCCTGCACGAAGCCTTCACCACTATAATCAAATCCCATGTGCCGCTGTCGGTTTCCTGGAAACTGATCTGCCTGACCCTCATACGTCGAACTCGGGAGAGTCGACTATATATATGTGTGTGTTTATTTGTGTCTATGGATGTATTCTGGAAGCCCATTTGATACTGAGTAAAACCACTCCCCAACTTATCTAACGAACTTGTGTAAATGGTTCGTAGAACTGTTGACTGATTCTTTTTCTACGGCTTAGGTAGGATGTTTACAACCAGAAAATAGATTTAGATTGAAGGAATGTTTTTGAGATAATAATAGTTTAGTGATAGAAATTTTACTAATTAACCCATACCTTGGGAGAGAAAAGGTGGAATTTTACCTTTATTTGTTTGTAAGTGAATATAACGGAGCAGAAGGGAATTCAAGTTGGCTCTTCAGTGAACAATTCCAAGACGTTAACAATTACAGCATCCACACGTCCAAGCTGACAGCATTTATGTGTTCCCAAACAGTCACTCATGTAAGTAATTACCAGGCTAGACGCTGTTGCCTACCTTCGAACATCGATAAGGAGTGATAGCAAAAAGAGAGACAGGAGGGGTGTTGTGCAGACCCATGATCCAGTGAAGGGTAAGAAGAATACGTATCACAGTCATGTAGAAAATTCTCAGATTTTTCTCCCAGATGAACAAAATATCCTCAATAAATCACAGACGAAATACTTCTGTGATTCACGCTTCTAGTGTGTCTTCGAAGTGAAAATTCGCAGTGAAGGGCGATGGGTTCTCTATTGCACATTCTTTGGTTTGGGTGTATAAAATAATCGGGGCGTCTACTAAAATACGGGTATCCAGTAATAAACAAATTTTAAAATAGTAAAATATGTTGGATTATTAAAAAAATCTATTAATTCTTAAGAAATATATATATATATATATATATATATATATATATATATATATATATTAATTATTTATTTAAAAATATGATTCCAAAACGCTACATAAGAGTTCTCATGTTTCAAAACAAGAGCCAAAAACTTCAATATAATTATTTGAATTAAATTGAATCAAAGTACTAAGCTCTGTTCCATTTTTAAATAAACAATTAT